ACACGCAGAGGTGGCTGTTGGAAACATGTTTCTCACAAGCGCCATCTTTGTGTGTGAAGGGTGGGATGAAAGGAAATTAACGAGGTTGTTCTTGTTACTTGGCTTCCGTTGCCACTTTGTCAGGTAATCGCTACTTGATAGGTTTATTTGAACGTTTGAAAGCGGAAACCAGTTTTTTCTCGGTTTCTCCAAGGTACTCAGACCACTCGTTCAATAATTCTAAGCATTTGTCCGTCTCCTCCTGCGTAGAGAAGACGACAAAACAATCATCTATGTATCTGCAGTAGAGTAGTGGCTGGAGATCGAGAACGGGGCTTCTATCTTAGACTTAAACACAATTGCAAGGCTTGGTGCCAGTCGCTATCCCATTGCGAACCTCTTATTTGTGCGAAATATTTTCCAGACCATCTGAAAATCGAGCAGTTTAGGCACTCCTTTAACAAACTACTGCATGGGCAAGCCATGCATATTTATTCTTCTTTCATGTTCAACAACAAGTTCGAAGATGGATTGCATGGCAGAGTCATTCGATACGTTGGTGTACAGTGCGGTAACGTCGAAAGACTCTATCACGTAGGCGTTATTAGGAGCCGTTGGCCCGTTTACAGAGCTGATGATTGGTCTAACCTTATATGATGACGGATTAGTTAACGCAGCATCATCAGGTGATACCAACTTATGTGTTTTAATAAGTAGCTATAAGACGGGGCATGCTGGTCTATTGACTTTAAGGTTCGAAATAACAGACAATTTTATGCCTGCTGCCTTTGCCACTTTGACCCACTGATTGTTTAATTCTCGGTATTTACTTTTGTGTTCCCTTTCAGATGATGGGCGATAAAGAGTAACATCACTGAGATGCTCCTCAGTTATTATTGTTATCTTAACATCTCGCTGGCGGGAAATAACTACGAATTCTCACCCCCTCCCTTATCACTAACTGATAGCCTAATCCGATGTTTTTCTTCAACAAGTAGACACGAGGTTGTTATTATAGAATTTATTAGGATACAATAGCTGACGTTTCGGCGGTTTCGCCTTCTTCAGAGCCGTTTATTTGTTGTAAGTATTTAAGTTAGTCGGAGTTAGCTCAGTCCTCGCACATGTATTACTCTGTGCGGCTGCTATCCGCCAACCAACTTAAATACTTACAACAAATAAACAGCTCTGAGGAAGGCGAAACCGCCGAAATGTCGGCTATTGTATCCTAGTAAATTCTATATTCACAACTTTGTGTATGCTTGTTGAAGAAAAACATCGAATTATCAATCATTGCCGAGGCTAACAGAAAGTCGATCTTGGGAATTGATAACCTAATGTTCTTTGAATTTATTAAATCTCTAATTTCTTGCATACCACACTTTTGTGCGGCTGTAAGGTTAGAGATAAACTTTCTATCGCGGTAGTGATTAAGAGTGTTGAGAATGCTGTCCAAAAACATGCGGAGCTTTATGTCAATTCCGTCGTTGGGGTCCTGCTGTCTAAAAAACGTTCTGGGGAAAGGAGACGATGGTAATATCGCCGCTTCTTCGTTTTCACCTTTACTTGATGTTTCTTGTTTCGCCGGATAGCGAAGTCGAACTTGAAGCTCATAATGTTGCATGCTATCCTACGCAATGTCGTTTTAGAAATGGGTTATGATGGTACAAAACTTGAACCCAATTCTAATGGCGAACGCGCACTCTCAGGTATTGTAATGTCCCAATCACGGTGACCCTAGATTATCTTGGTGCATTATCAACCGTATTTTGACTCCTAGCAAAGTTCATTTGTCTGCGATTTCTTGAAGCCGAGACACGCGAATTGGTCAACAGATTGTCAAACTTTCGCTGTAAGGCCATTTTAGCATTAGACTTAATTGAATTGCATATCGGTATTGACCCGCCAACTATTCTCCTCCAAAAGTGATCCTCCAATTGCAAAGCACAAAAATGATCCTTAATTACACATCTTATCGTTCTTGCGTACGTATCGTACCGTTTGCTTCGTAGTGCATCCCGAAGTAGTTCCATTTCGATGCCTCATACTTGTTGGTTGTCCTTTACTTTACCGTATATCTCGTGAAGCCGTTTCCATTTTATGAACTTCGCCACAACTCTAAGACGATCTTTTGTCATAGTGACAAGGCTTCCTTTACAAGTCGAAAATGTCTTGCTGGTACTTCTTTTAACAGTTCGCAAGATCGAGTTTCTATTAACCTCGGCATTGGATAATAAATCTATTCTTCTCTTCTTGCAGTAATCAACCATATGCGACTCTAAGCGGCTGTTCTTCCTTGGTGGAAAACAGGTAAAAATAGTGGGTTTTTCGAGAAGCCGGTGATCGTGTTATTATTGTTTAGATTTTCATCTTTCTCTTTGCCTTTAAGCGCTTGACCTAGTAAATTACATATTAGTGTACCCTTCCAGGTACTGAAGAAGGCGATATTGCCGAAACGTCAGCTACCGTTGTGTTGTATGTGTTGTATTTGTGAGGAGTTGAACTTTTCTTTAATCTTCATTTTGCAAAATAAATAAAAATAAAAAGAAGTAAATCTTAACCCTTTTATTTACTGCCTTTTTCTTTTTAATGGCAGGGTATGTTGAGAAAAAAACTAAAGTCTCACGGTTTTTTTTCACCAGCAACACCACGATAGGGTCGGGCTTCAGTTAATTTGATGCGGATGTCATTGGCTGATAGACTGCAATTATTCCCAAATGTGTTCTGGTTCTTGTATTTTGTGGTTTAATGCTAATAAAATATGCTAATTAATAATAATTAACATAATGCTAATTAAACGTGTGCTGAATAACAACCTCGCCATTGCTGTAAAAGAGAGAACGACAGATCTAGAATCCAATGCCGAGGTTAATAGAATGTCGATCTTGGAAACTATTAAAGAAAAGCTTCCTGCGTTGACCAATCCCTGAGGGATGCGCTATGCATTCGACTTCATTAAGCATCGTTTGGAGGTGACGGAAATGCATATCGGCCTTTACATAACTCGCGGTGGCCATCGAGCTAGTGCTGTTATCATTCCAAACAAGTCTGGTACCAATTTGCCAATCCCAGAAGGATGGAAAGCTTAGTGGGCTATGTGCGCAAGGATCGATTCCATATGTGTGTTGCAGGGTGCCTCCGACCATTGCGCCACACTCACCCTATGGTCGGTGAAGAAATTTACTCTGCTAATGTTTCAGTTCATTCGCTTTGCTGAAAGTCGGATTGATCTGAGTCTGTTGTCCACGATTCTTGTTTTTTCCGAAGTGGGTCTTCGTGGTCGCATCTAGTCGGGTGTAGTGGAGCACCGCTTCAACGAAGAGCTTCATTCGCCTGTGCTCTTTGATACAGGACGGTCGTTGTAGACAGTGATTGCCTGTTGATAATAACCTGTTTTCTCTGGGCAATCCATCCTGCAGCAGTCAGTCGGTGTCACAAGCGTTGCACTGATATTAATTTATCACTGATATCATTTTATTTATCAGTTTATCACTGGTGTCATTTTATCAACGTGCTGATAATGATACCGAGTGCTACAGGATGGATTGTCTGGAAAGAAATAAGTTGTTATCAGCAGACAATCATTGTCGAAAAAAACCTTCAGTAGTTGGTATCACTATGCTATGTAAAGGCAAAGGCACCAAAACGTTGGCCGAATAAGTTCCTTTATCAACCTCGTTCTAGCTTATCAGTGAAAGAATACTTATATTAAAATAACTCAAAAGACCGACTTTCTATAAGCCTCGGCATTGACAGTTGATATATTTAGTGATGGGACGAGTCCCACTCGTAACATCACGGTTCTGAGGAAGGCGAAATCGACGAAACGTCAGCCATCGCATCGACTAACTACACCAACAACAACGAAAACGACAAAGAAGACCTATACCAACTTCACATCAGCTAAAGAAGATCAGTTCATAAGATCATATAAATAAATATATATTAAAATATTTTTAAATATGCATTAGTTCTTCGACATTTGGTTCCCATTGCTTCAAGATTTCTTACCTATCGAATTCGGGAACAAGCGATGATTTATAAAACGCGAGCGTTTCTATGAGGTACTTTCAGCGTAGTGGTTAATATGCCTTTCAATACAAACGTGGTTCAACTCCGCACCCTAGGCCCACTAAACCATACTTCTATCTAGGGTCAGAAACATGGTAGCAGGCTTGTCCAGGACGATAACAGCACTAACTTGATTATCATTAATCACCGCAAGTCATCTTTAGGCCAAATGCGCATCCATCACCTAGGCGATGTTTAATGATGGAGTGAGAACCTTAAGGCATTGGTCAACTCCAATCGCTTCATCCTTTGTTTCCTTTAACCCTTTCCACTGAAATCCACTTTTTCCACTTTCCACTGAATCTTCCTCAAGAGACAGATCACAATCCGGCTAACCGTCATTTGTCGCGGATCCTCAGCGGGCGAACAGGCACGCTATTAAAAGCGGACTATAAGCAACCATGTAGTCATACAAAGACACAGATGGGATTCGTCGTAACAGCTCCCTGTTTCCACTACTGATTTATGCTTTCCTTTTACGCTTAATTTCATTTGTAAGACAATTGCGTGGGTGCAATTTAGTGCTACGCTTGTCGACTACATCCGGTATTTTTCCACGAGAATTCCGGCTCACTTTCAGTGGTGTATAGCCAAATACTCCAGCATTTCCGATGTTCTTGGAAAGAATTCATGCTTGTGTATATCTAAGAAGTTTTTCAGGAATATTGGCTATTTCAATGCATTGTAAATTTTGGTTCATCGCCGAGGAAAAACCCCAGCGGTAGCTAATATCGTTTTAAAAAAATACTCGGTAAAACATATGCACCAGAAGGAGCCAAAATAATGGTCGATATAGGAAAAATAGAATACTCTAGGCTTTTCCAAGGGTATGAGTAAACTGTTTAACTTTGGCACGCTATAAAAATCTTTGGCCACTTTCTACAAGTCGCATGAACTAGTCAAGTGGCACTAGAACGTTCACAAATAGGTGAAGAGTAGTGGACGATGACTTACTCTCTGATCTTAGTTCCTCTGATGTTATACGGACTGAAAAACTCGAAATCGCCTTCTTTCACCGATGCGCAAGCTCTTCTTCGGTACTCACCGACGTTGAACGCTGAAAACTTTTAGGCAGATTAATATCAATAGCAATCCATTGATTCTTTTCTTCTTGGTGTAATTTCACGTATTATTTTCTTGAGTCATTGTAAAATATGGACCACGCGGTAAGTAAACCGAGACATTGTCTCAAATTTCGCGCATGATGACTATCTGCGCCGACTGTGGTGCAGCCTGTGAAGATTTATCGAACCTTTCGTTTTGATGCCAATCCAATTCAGATAACGACAGAGCTTGTGTGAAATGTACGTTTTTCCACGTGCCGGCAGCCCCACCATAGCGATCACATTTGGCACCCGCACTTGTACACTTGAGCCGCCTAAAAAATAACGCAGCGAGCCTCGGAAACTTTAGAAAAAGGATTAAAAATAGAATTAAAAAGTTTAAAAATGTTAACAAGAAATATGGATGCCTCAGTTACTCACAATATCGTCTTGTACATTACGTGAGGAAGAGCAAGTTTTGTGTAAACATGGGTGCTTCCACCGTTTGCCAATGACGAAAAAAACAGGCGATTGGGACCATTTAAGACTTTCTTCTACAAGACAGTAAGCAGTGCAGACGTTGACAAGTTAACCAGTGTCCAAGATTATCAACAACCACGACACTTAACGGGGTTCAATGCAGATTTGTGCTCCTAAGATCAACCCCATCAACCCCGCAGACGAGTGATTGCTGATGGCAACGCTGGGTAGAAAACTAGCCGACAAAAATCTAAAAGAAGGGCATTCGTGGCGCAGTGCGTAATGCGTGAACCGCGGGAGAGGGTAATCGTGGTTCGATCCGCCTTGGGGTCTGAGTTTTACGAATATCTCAGCATCGCTGTGGTTGTAATTCGTATCATACCCTGCTATGTAGAATTATAATAGGTAGTAAATGAAGGGGTTAAAATTATCAACAATGTTCACAGCTTGAAAAAATTGGATTACATTTGAAGCACATTGAATTGTTTCTTATGAACTTTGTCTACTTTGATGCTTGTGATGTACTGCTGTCAACGTGTGCTACTTTGTTCCAACCTTGTCGAACAGACTGAAATATTGCAACAGCCGCCAATAGCACTTTAGTAAAAGTGCAAGGAAAAACGTATCCATCAGGGAGACTATGAATGTGTGTCGTCAACATGACATTCCACAACAATCTTAAGCCGATGCAAAAACTCAAGCTGAAATTGTTGCTTAATGAAAAGTTCAGTTCAAAATAGCAACGCCATGATAGAGGTCAGTGAGTCCGTTTCGCTTCAGAGTTGAGGAAAACGGCAGAAAAAGCTTGGAAGAAATGAAATTGGTTCAGACTCATTTATATGAGCTGTCCTATTGATAATGTCCTGTGTTCAAAGGCGGATGTGATCAGGTCGAAATGTGGCGTTTATGGAAGGTTGGGAGGCTGATGTAAATCCAAAGGTAGCGTGTTCTGATCCTTCATTGACGAGTCCGCTGCAAGTGCAATTAGTGGCATACAGAGTTTGTGTCTAGAAGTAAAATAGAAGAAAACAAATCGTTAAGGCACGGGATAGTAGCTCCTCGTCAGGTTTCATAAAACGTCAGTCTTTAATAACGATCAAGATATTTAAGGTAGTGATAGTGTTATAGCATTCTTCATGATCAGGTGCTGGTACGATCTTGGTCTGGCTCTCCAAGCCTCTCGTCCATCTAAAGTCGGGTAAATTGATTCCAAAAGCATTTAAGACGGTCTAATACTCAGTTTAAATAGGAACGCTTCGCCCGATTAACTCTGGATTCCAAAGAGAACTAAATCGGCCTGGCCAACATTCAATGACATCTGTAAAGAAGATGGCAATCCTCAAGCAGCAGCCAGAGCTACATGCGAAAAGTTCGAATTCCTGGTTAAATGGATCGTACGAAGGAAGCGCTGGTGCCTGTGCAGTAGACGTGAGACCGGCTCATGTGGAATAATAGAATGAAAAAAAAACTTTCGTCTCTTGCTTGTACCTTGACTTTCTTCGGATGTACATGTTACTCTTTTCGTTTGACATTCATTCATTACTTTTGGCGAATAATGTATACTTTTTATGTACTGCCTACTACATTTTTTACAGCAGGGTTCTATGTGGAATGAAACCAAAATGATACTGAGACATTTGTAAAACTCCGGACCGCAGCTGTCTGCGGTGGGCATCGAACACGCTATTACCCTTTCCGGAGGCTAATGTGTTTAGCGCTACACTATGCAGGTTCTTCGTTTCGCCTTTCTATCAGCAGGTTTTCTATCCACCGGTCCCTTCAGCAGTCATCCGTCAATGCCACTGATAAAAATTGTAGTAGACAGCAAATAAAAAACTGACAATGTAATTTCGACTAGAGCCGCAACCTAACTGGGTTCATTGCCGATTTAGGCTCCGCCAGAACAATCCCGTTGACGGTGATTGCTGATGGCACTGGTGGATAGAAAACCAGCTGATAGAAAGACGAAACTAAGGACCTGCATAGTGCGGTGGTGAACACATTAACCCCGGAAAGGGTAATAGTGTGTTTGACCCCATCTTCCCTTTGACAGCTGCTGTTCGGAGTTTTACAAATATCGCAGGATCATTGCGGTCTATTCCGGTTAATGGTTGAAATTTTTCAATCATGTAGCAATGAAAGAAAGGCATACAAATTCTATTAGCGGCTTTCTATCGACCATCATTAAGCTGTCGTGTTTCTGGTGAGATTACACGCGATTGTTAACAGAACGCTTACCTTACAACGACAAATAGCGTGCGTCACTTTTTTCATTTCCGTGAAGGGTCGCACTAACACGTGGATCTATCAGAACAAATATTTCCACGGATTCACCACAAACTTTTTAACCTATATTTCGATGTAATGTTAAATAAATCAGTAAAGAAATAGCAAATTTAGTATTTTGGCTGACTTAGTACTTTACTAACAGTATTCAGTAGTACCAATAAACTACTACTAGTATCAATTTTATTCTAGTGAATTTAGTACTTAAATGCTCTATGATTGTAAAATATCGGGAACGAGTTCGACGAACTATTTTGGCTTTTCTAGAAGAAACCTTGGTCAATGTAGGTTTAGTATTCTGTCGTTATGGCTCCATTTGGCTCTGTAAAAGGGAAATACAACGCTACTTCAACTCTTACTATTATAACAACGTCTACGCTCAATGGTTTATTGCTTCATTGTAGTTGAGGTGTGCTCCTAAGTGCTGAGCTGCGATATATACAGCAAAGAGTTCAGCATCAATAACAACTGAGTAAGGACGAAACTCTAGATTCCCATTATATATTCCAGGAAATAAATTACAGCTGCAGGTCTGGGAGAAATTCAGCGAGAAATTCGACATGTCTTCGTCCACAAATACTTGGGAACTTGGATGGTGACAATTTGGGTGCATATTGAGAAAGATTATCACGAGGCTCCAGACGAAACAGAACCTCGCCAAATCTACAGCATTTCAATTGAATGAGGTGGTTCTTCAGTCTCGAAGGATTTCTCATGAAGATGAGGCATTCAACTGAGTAAGTAGTAACAGCCTCGGAGAACACAAAAATTCAGGACAACAAATGTTGACGAGCGAGCAGGCGTGCATACAAGCACGATCCATTAAAAAATCAGGCACCAAACATAAGAAAAACGTAGTAAATATATTGACGATTGATTTAGTTTCTTATTCGTAAAGGAATAAAAGTGAACCTAAAAAGCCAGCAGAGTCAGAAAAGTTTTGTTCCCATAAATGCTTCTACAAGTCAAAAAATAATTGTATCAAATCATTCAAGTCGTTTTGTTTTTCCCAGATCCCACTTCATACCTGGGTCGTGGATAAGCAGCTTTTCTGAATTTTCTATGGAAAGTTTCTAGAAAAAGCAAAATTCTAAGCAATTTTGCTATAGGCATGGGTAGGTAGGGCTGTTGTTAGACGGTTAATAAAAAAGTAAACGTGATTTCGACTGCAGCCTCAGCTTAACTGGGTTCAATGTAAATGTGAGCTGCCCAGATCAATCCTGCTGACGGGTGATTGCTGATGGCACTGCTAGATAGTAAACTAGCTGAGAGAAACGCAGATCAAGGGTCTTCGTGGAGCAGTGTGCAATGCACGTGCTCACGAAAAGGGAAATCGTGGCTCGATCAGACCAAGGGTCCAAGTTTTGCGAATGTCTCAGTATTGCTACAATTTTGCTATAGTTATCGCCTAAATATTCTGTACACAGTAAGCCTAATCCGTAGGCAGAGTCCAACATTAGGTTCTTAGCAAAGCATATTTTTATAAACACTTACCTATGCCATTCACTTCAAAGGCCGTCATTTTTCTTTGAGGCACTCCCGGTGTCACCGACATTTCTAAAATGGAAAAAGCAAAAATCTCAACAAACTTGAAAAATGTCAACGCGAAACAAACAAATACAAATTTCCCTATATGGAAAACAACAGTATGAACTAATAACAACGGGATTCAGCACAAAGTTGTATTTAAAATATCACCTAGGCAGTACAATACTCAATATCGAGTTAGAAAAAGCGGAAACTGAAAAAAATAAGCAATGAGAGTAGTCTTTTGGGCAGGCCAGGATGGAAAATTTCTGTCGCCGATAGATTATAAGAGCTTTAATTATGGGCAAAATAAAAAGCATGTAGCATATTTAAGGAGATGCTATGGGCTTTTCCCTCGAGGTCTGGATATCTTCAAGCTCATTTCTTCTTTGCGCGCTGTGCTTATTAAGTTTCACCTATCCTCAACCACGCCTTCTGAGCCTAATACCAAGCAATCGTCATATACGAGCATCATTAAAGACTGGTTTTCGATTAACCTCAGCAAGAAACACTTAGTTACGAGGTCCCATGTAAGCCGACATAGTGTTGTTAACAATGTTATTCATCCTAGAATAATGAGTGGTTTTGCTATAGAGTAATTTTCATCTTTCGCTTTTTAGGAAATGAGGCCATCCACATAGAGACGGCATAGGTTTGTAAGGTCACCTGCGCCGAGGTGTTAGGTGACAACACCCGCCCAGAGGTGGAGTGGGTAAAAGCACATCCAAATCGCTGATATGGGTGAAAACCACAAGCACATAGGTGACATGGAAAAAGTTACTTGCACAGAGATGTCATTCATAGATGGGTAAGATCACCTACACTGAGTTGACATGAGCGGCATCAACCGTTCAGCGATGAGAATAGTAAAACCACACCCACAGAGGCGGTTCCAGCAGGATCAGCGTCACAGAGTTGACATATGTAGGAGCATTTTCAGAGAGGGAATGTATAAGACCACCTGGACAAAGATGAAATGGTATAGGTTTCATTGCTTTCAAATGCAATTATGTAGATAAAAATAATTTCTCCATTAGCGCTCGTGGATAATCCAAGTAATAGACTTTGAAAGGCTGTTTCGCATCCATTATTAGTTAGTAATCATCTGAGCCACTTTTTTCAGATGAATTTCTCATTCTTCTTTTGTAAAGAACTTCTTCACTTTCTATGTTAAAATTACCACTTTGGTACCGGACTTGTCTGGGAAAAAAATCACTCTCTGCAATCTAATTTGGAACGCTCCAGCCCGGCTATCTCAGGACTCCAGAGAGAATTGTTCGACCAACATTACGACATTCAAGATAAAATAGAAATCCTCAAGCAGCAATCGAAGCTATGCGTAAAGTTGGAAGATCTTCGTGGATGATGGATGCCAGGAAACGAATTGAATGTTAGAAGTGCTGGGATCCGCACAGTAGATGTGAAGATGAGTCATGTAAAATAAAAAGTAAGTAATAAAAAATTATCACTTTTTATTTAAAACCTACGATTCTTCCGCAAGAAGTATTAGTGAATGCAAAGTATTCGGAAATTGTCCTCGTGGCGAATTTGCGCATATATCTCTCTGAAGAGCATATGACTCATATGGAACTGCCTCGGCACCTCATAGAGGTTATTTTGTATGCTTTCCATTAGAGAAAGCGTGAGAACCCATACGGAAAACAATCTGATGCTGAGTACAAAAACATGTAGGTCCATATCGTTGATTAACATTTTATGAAGTATTTCTGAATAGAAAGGGAAGTTTCACAGAGCGGCAACACTACAGTCGTCGGGAAAGCTTTAAAATAACTATCCGTGAAGTGGGATAACAAACTACGAAACACTTAGATGAGAGATATTTTTCTTTTAGGCCGTTTAGGCAATTATGAACAAATGCCTTCATAATTGGAAGAGAATTCTAGAAACAACTGAGAGATTGGCTTGAAAAATTCTGAACGGAGAACAAAAGAGTGCACTTTACATCAGATTCTAAAGAATTTTTTTCAATGCTTACTAAGACAATAACTTTTAGAAGATTTATGGGCCGGTTTTCATTGAGAGGTTTTAGAATATGATAGAATGCTTTGGCCATCGTCTAATTATCGATCAGACGTCGATGCAACCAAAATATTTACTACATATAGGTTTCTCATCCTTGAAGGAAAGAAATGATAGCAACGCTCTGTGATCCAGTTTTTCCTGATCAACAGAAGAAAACTGTGGAGAGAAAGATGCTGCTGGCAAAAACATCTGATTCCTCTACAAAAAAGTCAACAGCTTTCACGAAGAGAGTTGCTGTCATACGTCTCGTCGTAACTCTTTCACATATTAGATCCGGGAATAAGAAGTTCTGTCGAAACTGTAGGGCGCGTGTGGAGAAGTGGTCGGAGGCGCCCTGTAACACACACATGGAATCGATCTCTGCGCCCGTGGCCCACCGTGCCTTCCATCCCTCCGGGGTCGGCAAATTTGTACCAGATTTGTCTGGAAGGATAGCAGAACTGGCTTGATACATCGGTATGCCACTGCGAGTAATTGTAAAGGCCAAATGAGCATTCAGTCACTGCTTCCAAATGATGCTTAATGAAGTCGAATGCATGGCGCATCCCTCAGGGATTGATCAACACCTAGAGCTTTATACTTTTTTTTATTTATCACAAATGATGTATCGATCTCATTTTGTCTTATGCGGTTATTATCACTAATTTTCGGATTCAAAGAATCGCTTCTGGAGGAAAGCAGCCTACTAATGAATTCTGCAGTTATCAATCGTCAGAGTTTCAACAAAAGGTGTCTATGATACAGTTACGATGGCACGATGTAATAGATATCATATTGACCGCTGCAGATTGCTGAGACTGTATTTCCACAAGACTGCAAAGGTTTGAAAAATTTGTGAAGAATAGCGAGAAGCTTTCGCTACAACTTAATAGAATATCGTAAATTGCCACCCATTCGATACAGGAAGGAGGAATCGTGTTCAGAACACTCAGATTCACTACGCACGTTCAATTTGTCGGCGCTGAGATTTTTAATAGCATGTCCTTTTTATATGATCAACAACTGTAAAACGCCACTAAGCTCCGCCTACCACATTGAAGGTTATTTAATACAACTGTCGTCTAGACATCGATGCGACGCAAAACATCACGTTCTTGTTTCTTAGCTAAAAGGCTTGTTTCGGTATCAATAAATATGAAAGAATTCGATTCGCATGACCGACTTTGTTTTAACTTCGGCATTGATTGATAATTCGATGTTTTCTTCAATAAGCAGACACGAGGTGTCGACGACCTCGTGTCTGCTTATTGGAGAAAAACGTCGAATTCAATTCGAACCATAAAAAGCATGTATGGGTTAGCTTTCACTTCAGCACTGTTTGTATTCGTCAGTTCGATTCCGGTTCGGGCACACTGTCCATCTAGACTCGGAGGATCAATAGCAGAGCACATTGAAACCTCTGGAACACTTTCGCCAAAGAAAGCTGTTCAATATGCTAAGTTGCTAAGTCTTCTCCGGTTTCTGTGTTTATGATATAGGTAGTAATGTAATGTAAAAATTGCACAAACATCTCAGAGGGAATGATCAATGCTTCGAGTTCCACTTTTTTATATTTGTACATAGGCTAGTTGTTTTTGATTGAAGAGATCTGACTTGACCCTTTAATATCATACTCATTTGTTGGGTTAAATGAGCAATGGACGAAAATATCAATTGCGTTAATTAACTGGTAAACAAATCAGGATTTATTTAGATTCCATTGAAGGTTTTTGTTCTATCGATAGTGAAAGGAAGGAAGAATCATTTCGCGTTGATACACCTATGTAATGCTAGGATTCAGCCGTAGACGGAAATGATGCCGCATGCACTACGTAGCCATTTAGGTCTATTTTAACTATCGTACAGATAAATGTAAGAGCCAGTGTAGCTTTGTGAATAGAAGCGCCTTGCGATGCATGCCATTCTTGGTTCGACTCCGCGTTCTTGGCTAACCAACTCTCTATCCCTGGAGGATTGACACATTGATATCAAAAATTCCTGGAGAAAAAGAGGTACTGAGTTGATATATCAATACGCTACTTCAACTCCTTGTATAGACTAATAGCGCTCAGTCATCTTTAAGATACTACGAATGGAAGCGGATGCAGAACCTAAAACCGAGGGCGAAGACTTCATTTTCTATACTTTATTTTTTTCGCTGTTTCTTCCATAAAGGTAAGCTATAATCATCGGTCGTATAAATTTGATAGCAAGCATACTTGTGGGGTCAATCAGCGTCGATCGTCAATAACGACCTTTTCATCCTTTATATGCAAATACTGGTTAGAAAAATATGCGAATTCTCAAAAAGGAGTAATAAAATCAATCCTCCTCAATCCTTGGGGGATACGACATGCATTCTACTTCATTAAGTATCGTTAGAGGTGACTGAATGCATACCTGGCCTTTACAATGACTCGCGGTGACCTGAACGTATCGAGCCAACTGCTATTCTCCCAAACAAGTCTGGTACCAACTCGCCGACCCCGGAGGGATGGAAGGCTTGGCGGGCTATGGGCGCTGGTATCAATTCCAGGTGTGTGTTGTAGCGGTGCCTCCAACCACTGTGCCACACGCGCCCTGATAAAACATATGATAGAAAAAATCGTCACTATCATACCAAATTAGCCAAATGCCTATCGTTCCTCACCAATAAGAATATTTTATGAGACACACCTTGACATCACCAGTGAACGGTTTCGGGAAGCAGCAGCTAGTATAAAAACGGCCATACACTGAAGATATTTAGATGCTTCGATCACTAATCACTCCAGAAATGTTAAACCTTTTCCCAAGCATGCACTTGGAGCATTCTTTCTTTTAGAGAGGGACCCATGATTTATATTGATTTTTATCTTAATTGGTTTGAATGGACAATTATTACGTAATATAAAGCGGAATTAGATTGAGAGTTTAATGTGAGCACATTTCATGTTAAACAATAAGCGAGCAAATAAAGGACTCTGTCTAAAATTTACTTATTTAGGTAGTAAGTAGTAGATTGGG